CTTCTGACAGTGCTGCTCATGCCTGATACAGATGAATGCACATCAGCACTATTTTTCTTCAACATGATCACCTGATAATGTGTGTTAAGCATACATTTTGGGAAGGTGGTTTACAAGCTGGTGTTTCATCCTGCTTCCTGTGTGCTTCAACTCACAGGTGAATGAGGATGACCTTAGGGAACAGGCTAGCATAGTCTTTATTTTTGTATACCAGGCACTTGACTAAAAATAGTTAGTGGCCATTTTTAAAGATGACAAGATTCCATAACATTTGGGATCAACTACTGAGTAAATTGGGAGCATGCGGACCATGGGAGAAGGTAGGAGAGGAGGGGAAAGGAAGGAAGGGGAGCAGAGAAAAATATATAGCTCAATAAAAAACAATTTAAAAAAAAGAAAAAGACATGTTATTTTTGGTTCCAACAGTCAGTAATTAGGAGATTTTGTTGTTGTTGGTGGTGGTGGTGGTGCTGCTGGTGGTGCTGGTGGTGCTGGTGGTTCCCAAAATCAGTATCTGCCTACTAATACAGTATCTCTGATGAAATTAAAAAAAAAAAAAAGCTTTGGGATCAAGATCCTTCACTGTTCATGTTTATGACCTATGGAATGTAATAAAATACATGTTTATTCAGCTTTCAGAAAATGAAACCAAATGAGGTAGTTAGTAGTTCTTGATTAGATTCTGTAATGTTTGCAGAACTAACTTATTTGCAGAAGCAGGGAAACATAGCCAGAGTATACGGAAAAGCTGAGTTAAAGAAAACAAAACCACAAACCTCAACTTTTGATAAAAATACTTGAATGTTGTCAAAGAATATCTTGAACTACAAGAAAAGCAAGTTAAAGCACTGCTATCGAAGATCCTAAAAGTTAGATAACATTATGTAACTAGTAAAGGTATAAATAAAACACAGACAGCTTTATTGTATCAGTTCATATTTCAGACCTGGGCTTGGCGCCCAGACTTTTATAGAAACATGCTGTAAAGGAAGATCATTTATAATCAATTGATCTTCCTTTACGTTTCTGAAATGCACACCGATAGATTGAACTCCTCATCACATGCCCCAGTAATATCCCATCTGACCACTCCACCACGGCACGCACAGCCTTCTCTTTCCCCACACAATTCCCCAGTGTTGTCTAGTGTCTTACACTATGACCTTCCCACTGTCTTTGAAGAATCTTTTGAATTCATGCAGGGGAGAGAAACCACACAGCAGTTTACATGGCTGAAGTGGAGTATAAATAATTATAATTAAAACAAGAAGAGCAGCAAGGGAATGGCTAATAAGAACTAAAGAAACTCTAAGAACTATAGGAATTTTGTATATAAGCAGAAGGAGTATCTTGCTTGGGCTGCCTTAGAAGCCTAGGATAAGGCCCTTCTGCCATGCTGTAGCTTCCTGAATGCCAACCACACAACAGTTCTGCTGGACCACTGTCCTCTAGCATTTTTTTTTTAATTTCTTTCCAAGGAGTTGGTAAAGCTGTCCTTGGTGTGTCCTCACCAGAGACGCTGCTCTAGAACTGCTGGGGTCAGAAGTCCCTAGGGACTCCTGTGCAGTGGGGGCAGTTGACTGTTGTGTACCTCAGTGTCTGGCACTGAGAGCAGGTACTACTAAAGGAATGCAGCACAGGAAGCAAGCCCTTCTGTGGCTTCTGGTACTTCTGATAGGCTTTGTCATCATGCAAGCCAGCAGAGGGAACAGATTTAAAGGGCACAGATTCATTTTAATAGAGCAAGTAGTGGAGGATTAAGGTAGACTCAAGAGACTGGTAAATTCCTACTGACAGAACTTGTAAGTTCACATGGGACACCCACAGAATCAGGCCACCTTGTTTTCCCAGTTACCTACTTGACACAGCAGTTTCTGCAGACAGGCATGCGTGTAAACATATCTGTGTCTGCATGTACACAATGTACACTCACACACACTAATATAGCATACTGATTTTAACATGAGCGCCCAGCACAGGTTCACAAGAAATTACCATGCTTTGCTCATTTGACTGAATTTCAATGGTCTTAATTATTTTTTCTTGGTGAAATAATTATATGCAGATATTTTTCAACTATTTGTCTTAAGATATTTGTCTTAGTGACAGTGTCCTTTGCTTTACAGAAGCTTCTCAGCCTCAGGAAGTCCCATTTATTCAATGATGCCCTTAGTGTCTGTGCTGCTGGGGTTATACATAGGAAGTGGTCTCCTGTGCCCATTTGCTGTAGAGTACTTCCCACTTTCTCTTCTATCAGGTTCAGTGTGTTCGGACTGATATTGAGGTCTTTAATCCATTTGGATTTGAGCACCCACACACTAAGACAATGGGGATGTTCTATTGGGATCTCACCAAGGCCAGCTGGTCTAGGTCTGAAAAAGCATGGGATAAATCCGGACTAGCTGAACATAGCGGACAATGAGGAATACTGAGAATTCAAGAACAATTGCAGTGGGTTTTTGATCCTACTGCACGTACTGGCTTTGTGGGAGCCTAGGCAGTTTGAATGCTCACCTTACGAGACCTGGATAGAGGTGGGCAGTCCTTGGGCTTCCCACAGGTCAGGGAACCCTGATTGCTCTTCGAGCAGATGAGGGAGGGGGACTTGATCGGGGGGAGGGGGAGGGAAATGGGAAGCGGTTGTGGGGACGAGGCAGAAATCCTTAATAAATAAATAAATTAAAAAAAAATTAAAAAAAAAGATATTTGTCACTTCACAAATGCAGAAGATGTTGGTAATCTTGTATTCTTTCCATTACTTTATTCTGAAAAAACATACTAGTGTATGAAATTCAGAACAGCAACTGATTATAGTTACCTGAGAATGTGTAAATATGAAGTGCAGTGAGTCACCATAGTAACCGTTTTTGTAAAATGCATGGAAAGTTTTGCCTTTAGAAGTGGAGAGGAGTTGTCATGTGGTAAGAACAACTTCATAGAGCTGTCCCTCTACTCTATATTTGCTGCTCCTTAAACTAACCAGCAATGGGTATTATTTTCACCACTGTTCAGAAGACAAAAGGCAGATGCAGTCAGATAATTTTTCTAAGACTGAAAGCTAGCAAACAGCAGAACCAAGATTTAGCAAGAGTCTGGCTGATTCTGAGTGTCTCAGGACTTAAATACATGTAATAACCTCTGAAGACCTTCTGGCCATAGGAAGACTCAAACTGAGTTAAGAATTGGAAATGGGGGACTGGAGAGCTCTCAATCATAAAGTACTTGTCACACAAGCACAAGATCCTAACTTTGGCTCCTCATAGCAACCGCATAAGGAAGAAAAAAAAAACCAACTGGTCATGGTGGTATGTTGCCACAGTCATAATGCTAAATCAGTAGGAGACAGGAGGATCACCTTGCTGGTCAGTCAGATTAGCTGAATTGATAAGCTCCAGATTCAGTGAGAAACCCTGCCTCAAAATGTAAGGTGGAGAGACTGAGAGATGGCTCAGCAGTTGAGAGCACTGACCTCTCTTAGAGAGGACTTGGGTTCGATTGGCAGCACCCACGTTGTGGCTCACAACAGTCTATAACTCCAGCTTCAAGTGATTTGACTGATTCTTCTGACACTGACAGGCACCAGGCATGCTATGGTGGTACACAAACACATATGCAAGCAAATCCTCATACACAAAAAATACTTTTGAAAAGAAAGAGAGAGAGAAAGAAGAGTAAGGTGAAGAGCAGTTGAGGATAACATTGATCTCTATGACCTTTACACGTATGTGTATTCCCATATATACTCACGGTAACATGTGTGTACACACACACAGACCCACCATAATTAGAAACACTTATTTTGCATTTGGGTTTTTTTTGTTTGGTTGGTTGGTTTTGGGTTTTTCTGTGTGTCTGTTTTTGGTTTTGTTTTGTTGTTGTTGTTTGTTTTTTCAAGACAGTGTTTCTCTGTAAAACAGCCTTAGTTTTTTTAAAAGATCCGTGAAAAAACTTCATAGCTTACTTTCAGAGCAACAGAAGCCTAATGTATATGAAACTTAAGAACTACTCTCTACTTTTAGTAATATAAGTGCCGGTACAGATGCGAGGGGAAAGTTCAGATGTCAGCAGCACTGGCGATTCAAACAGACTGTGCTCTGCATACACCGCAAATGTAGCGCCATCAGCTGTGAACTGATTTGTGCTGTGGAGTAGGCAGTCTAGATACTGGGTTTCTGTGGGATGTTCTGCATGTTCCAACAGCCCAATGTGGGGCCAACCTGTGCACCTCCTTGGCGTTCCTCATGGTTCTCCCAAGCTGCTAGGGTGTCAGCTGTTACATCTCCGTTCATCTAAGAAGGGCAGGAGAAGGTCCTGTGACTCATCAGCCTTTCTACAGCATCCTCAGGTGCCATTAGCTCTGCTCTCATTAGCCAGCACTAGGTCACATGTCCTACCAGAGTTTCAAGGCAATTTGGGAAAACGGAATAATGTTATAATTACTCTTGACATGGCTCAAGCCAAATTCCATTCTTATTCTAAATTCAGTCACTTAACTGTAAATAAAGTTGTATTGATACACAGTCTTTACCCTCAGTTATAGACCTTCAGTCTGTGACTGCTGACAGGTTACTAGGGAGAAATTGAACAGTTACAGCGTATAGCATGTAGCATACAGACTTAAGAACATCTGCTATCTCACCTGTTACTGGAAAAGTCTTGCTCAGACCAGTCAGGAAAAAGTAAACGCAGTGGTAACTGGCTTCCATGAAGTAAGGGAGAAAGTGAAAGGAAGGAATATTTGGTGGTAGCAACAGTGTGTGTCACAGACAGGATAATTTCTGTTTAAGCCACAGGGTCATTTTCAGTGTATAATTATTCTTACTCTTTTGTTTCCTCTTGAGTCAGGAGAATTTTGAAAGGTGGAAATTGTGATGATTGACAATACCATGATATATCATGAAAACAGAAGATTTTAGGATTTTATATGGCGCTCTATGCAAAGTGTTCTCCAAGTCTTAAGTTCTTTATTGGTTACTGTCCTTTTAACCCATTTCTCTTAGGTTCTTGCATACACTGAGGGACTTCATGGAAAATGGATGTTCAGTGAGATCCGAGCCGTGTTTTCGAGACGCTACCTTCTGCAGAACACAGCCTTGGAAGTGTTCATGGCAAACAGAAGTAAGTCTCTGAAGGAGCCTGAACAATGTGCTCACTTGATATTGCCCATTTGCATGTAAAGTAGTGTTTAGTTGTTGTCCTCTTGTGTGCTACCACCAAAGCAAAATATGTCTGAAGATGTTCATTTTGGTGTCATGTGGACAAAGCTGTAGAGAAGACTCCTCTTCTGTGAAAACGCTTTGCCATTTCAGATAAGCCACAGTATTCGTTCAGTACTGTGTCCTCAGTGGGCAGCTCTCTTGTGGTTTGCTAAAGCACCTTCTTTTCTTCTACCGCAGCCTCTGTGATGTTTAATTTTCCTGACCAAGCAACAGTTAAAAAAGTTGTCTACAGCTTGCCTCGAGTTGGAGTGGGGACCAGTTATGGTTTGCCACAAGCCAGGTAATTATATCATGTTACACATTATCCATGGTTTGTTTATATATAGTAATTTCTAAGACCAAGGACCTTTCTTTCTCTCAAGTTATTTATAGGGAAGGAGATGATGGAAACTGCTGCACTGAGAATTAGAGAATGCCTAGGGTAAACTTACTAAAACGTCCCCAATGTCTGCAGTCATTACAGTCATCGTTAACCTATAAGGAAGACTTTTTTGAAGAAGAAGAAGAGGAGGAGGAGGAGGAGGAGGAGGAAGAGGAGGAGGAGAAAAATTATTGCATGTTCTTTTTTTTTAATGTATACAACATTCTGCCTCCATGTGTTACCACACACCAGAAGAGGGCGCCAGATCTTATTAAAGATGGTTGTGGGCCACCATGTGGTTGCTGGGAATTGAACTCAGAACCTCTAGAAGAGCAGCCAGTGCTCTTAACTATTGAACCATCTCCAGCCCCCAGGAAGACATTTTTTTTTTTGCTAGGTGGTGGGCACATGCCTTTAATCCCAGCACCTGGGAGGCAGAGGAAGGTAGATCTCTGTGAGTCCAAGGCCAACCTGGTCTACAGAGTGAGTTTCAGGACAGGTACACTGAGAAACCGTATCTCGAAAAACAAAACAAAAAGCAAAGGAGGAGGAAGAAAAGAAGAAGGAAAAGAAAAGAAGAAAGAAGAAATCTTTCTAGTTAAAGCCATAGAGTACTAGTGTACCAAAAGCCTCTAGTGGTGTTTGTGATTAAGTACATTGGAATAGCATATAAATTATGGCTTTATGAATACTAGATATAAATGGTTGTTTATTGGGGTAATAAAATAATCTTGGAAACTATTCATTATGGGATAGTTTAGCTTTTTTTAAATATTTATTTATTTATTATGTATACTATATTCTGTGTATATGCCTACAGGCCAGAAGAGGGCACCAGACCTCATTACAGATGGTTGTGAGCCACCATGTGGTTGCTGGGAATTGAACTCAGGACCTCTGGAATAGCAAGCAATGCTCTTAACCGCTGAGCCATCTCTCCAGCCCTATAGTTTAGCTTTTACCTAAATCCTTCACCTTAGTATTTTTGAAGAACTATTCAAAAATTTATTTTATTAAACATTACTAATCTAAAAAAAAGTTACTAATCTAACTAATCTAAGCAGAAAACTAATTATGTATATCATCTATGCTTAGGTTTATGAATGTACCTGAATAAAAGTAGTCTCTCTCTCTCTCTCTCTCTCTCTCTCTCTCTCTCTCTCTCTCTTCACCCTTTGTGTGTGTGTGTATAACAAAAAGACTCCAAAGTTAAGACACTGCTGTTGCTGATCCTGGTTCAGATATTCAGTGACATCAGCAATCTGGATTGGTTTTATGGTCACAAAATGACTCTGACTGCCTCAGATACCCCATCTTCACAGCATTAGTGGAGAGAAAACACAGCTGATTTCTCTTTACATGTTTGTATTTTAAGAGGGAACATATTTCTCAGAAGTTTCTGAGATTCTTTATCATGAGTTCCTTTGGCTAGAAGAGATCATCTTACACCTCTAAAATAGCTGGAGTGTTTGCTGACTTGGCTCAAGGATCCTCTGCATTCTAGGGTTTTTGGAAAACACACCTTTGATTCCTTGCTACCTCCTCCCTGAGTAGTAGGAGGATTATATCCACAGGCTGGTGGAGGTGTGCTCTGCATAAAGACAGCACTATGCACTACAAACTGTTAAGTCCCTCACAGGACACTGCTGTGAGGAAAAGCCAATCTCTGCCTGCTTTCCGAAATAGATACCAGACATTCTGAAGATAGGCATTGTGTTTTATGAATCTTTCAACTTGCAGCTAACAGCTCAGTGCATAATTGCAAAAATGCTAAGTGCTCTTCTCTAGGGCTCCCTTGCTTTCTGTCTGACCTGTTCTCTTTGAGCTTCCAGTACAAGAGCAATTCATGGGCATGTGTGTGCATGCTCAGCATGTTTGTGAGGAGAATGACAAGATTAAGCCAAGACATTAGTAGATAATGAAGCATGTATAAACAATTCAAGTCAAAGAAAAATGCATTTACTCTATCAAAAACAATGAGAGAGGTTTGTAAGGCTTGTTCTCATTGATTGTCCCCAAGTTGACTCACAGTAGTCACTGCTTCCTTCCCGAGAGCCACAGACTGTACGTTTAATCCCCAGTTCAAGAAGTTTTTCCAGAAATAAATGTTAAGAACACACAAATAGGTCTGTCTTTCTCCTGGGTAAGTGTGAGCTTCTTCCCCCTAGCATCTTCCTCGGTGACTGTGATTCAGGAGGGGCGTGTATGATTTTCTGTGGTGCTTTTGAACCTGTCTGGATGTGATTCATTCAAAACAAACAGCAGCTCTCCTACTATCTGCCTCACCGATTATGGATATCAATTCTGTTTGACTTATGAAAGATTACTTTTAGGAGTAGAAGAATAAATACTCAATAGATTTGCCTTTTCTGTCACTTGATAAAGCCATGGTCTCAGAACACCCCTTTGGTCTCTTGTCTTGTTTTCGCCTTAATGAGTCTCCACTCATTCTTACCTTCCTAGCAGTATTCTTACAGGCTCAGTTTGCATGTTTCTGAGACTTGTAGTCTTAGAAGTAGCAAAACAGGCAAGGAGAATTCCATGTAGGCCTAGACCTGCTACCTACAAGCTGGGCAATAATAAGGTCCCTACCATCTGGAAAGAACCCAGTATACAGGAGTTAAAAGAATGAATGCTACTAAGCAAGATGAGTGATGTTCTCACATACCATACGATGGGATACCATATCTTTGTAAGGCATTCAAAAGTAAAGTACAGAGACAAAGTAAAGGCACTTCTTAGGCTGTGAATGTGTACATGTAGTATGTATTTGTGTGCACGTGTGCACATACCCACAGAGAGAGTCCATAGATAGGGAAAGTAGATGTTCACACGTCTACTTCCCACTCCCTTAGGCTGCAGGTGTCTGCTGTGGAGGATGAGCTTTAGAGAATTGTCAGAAGGAAGAGTGATACCTTGCTCTTCCAAAGAGAAGCTCTCTGGTGTGTCCCGACAGAATCACAAAGACTTCAGATATCTGTACTCTGCTTTCTTGACACCTGGTTCTGTTGGTATATGCAAAATTAAGTCAGCTCTCAGGACTTTCAGCTAAAGCCTTCACACAGTTAATTTTAAACAACAAAGCATTTTCAAATTCAAAGGCAGCTACCTTCCCCAAACAACTGACTTCAGCATCTCCTAGCCTAGACCAAGGCAAGCTCACCAAGGAGGTCACATTGCAAATCAGATTGTTGCTTAATAAGCAAAAGTTCAGGACGAAAGGACAATAGCATTGCCTCATGAATGTCTCTCTGATTAATTAATATTTACAGTGTGGTTCACTGAGTACCTCCCATATGTGAGGGACAATTTGTGTCTTAATTATGACAAGATCATTTCCCTTAAATCTAAAAGCACTCACATTTTTTAGAAAATAATGGACTTCTTACCCTAATTTACAAGTAAGAAACCTTAGCTAACTTGTCATTGCTCCCACCTTTCTGTTTCTCATTTTCATCTTCTATCAAGGTGACTCATGTTGGCCCCATAAAATAGTCTTTTCACACTGGACAAAACAATTACTGGCAAACACTCACATCTCACATGTGATTTTAACCGCGGTTCTCCTGTGTTTTCTATCCAGACATCAGGATCCAAAGGAAACATCCTGGTTGTTTCGAGTTGATGGCCTTAAGCTATCACCATTGCTATGTTCCCGATGCCTTCCATTCCTCAATCTCAACAGTGGGTAGCCCTTACTTTCCATACATCTTTGAGGAGTCTGAGGTTTGTTTTAGTATTTACCAGGTTCAAAAAATAATACCTCTATGAGGAGTTAGTTTGGGTGCAGAAAAGTGAAGGTGCTAGCATCAGCTTTGGTTCCAGTACTTGAGAAACTGTGAAGTGCTCAGTAGGTGCTTGCCCTTTCAGAAACCGCAGCTACTTAGAAAGAACCACTCACAGTACCTCCCAACGTCTCTTCATCAGTGTTAGATTCCAAGTAGCTACTTGTTTTTAAGATATTGACTTAGCCAGAAAGCAATTTGTTTAATTCACAGTTTCAGAGGCTGATCATACAAGATCTGGCCTCATCTGCTCAGCCTGAGAGGAAGGCTCCTTGGGGCAAGAGAGCCAAATGGTCATGTAAGATGAAGCCAAACATTGTAGCAGCCTGTTGTCTTGAGAACTTACTCACTCCATAAGACCGTCATTAATTCCTCCTGAAGACAGTACGCCTATGACCTAGTACCTTCCGTAAGGTCCCTCTTCTTGAAGATCCCACCATTTCAACACCACTATCCTGGAGACCAAGCTCCCAGCTCATGAACCTTTGGTAGATATGCTCAAACCACACCCATGCACTGAGTTCTGAGTAAGTGTTTCAACCTAATGGCTTAGTGGACAGAACTGCTAGGTGTTTCTCTTGGCCAAGGAGCATTGTGAAAAAATTAGTGCAACACTGAGGGTAACATGAATTTTAGCAGTTTCAGGAACCAAGTGGCTTTATCATACTTTTATAAATATACTAGGTTTCCCCTATTTTCAGATAAACACTTTGAGCCTGCAAGTACACAATAATGCTTATCTGTTCCCCAAATCTATGTTTATGTCACTGGACTTGTGTATTTTTTCAACTTCATCTTGTTGTTTTGTTTTGACATTAGTGGGTGAGTATAAATCATGCAGGTGAAGACTGTGCACTTTGTGCTTCTTTTGTTCGGTGACAGGCACCTTGCCACTGAGATATGAGGCTGATGCTTGCAGGCAGGCACGTGTGTAACTCTTAGTTTGTTCTCATGCAGGAGAGGCAGGCACGTGTGTAACTCTTAGTTTGTTCTCATGCAGTAGATTTGCTGTGTGGCTTAAAGTCTACCGTAATTTATTTTTGAACATAGGTTTTTTAATTTTTGCTCCTGTGTACTATAGTTAGCCATTTGTAACTGTATTTTCACAGATAGAGCTGCTTCCAGACTTGTCCTTTTCTGTAATGGGAGTCTCAAAATAGAGCTGATTCTACATACAGCTACATATTTTATAATCCACCCAGGAAGGCCAAGCCACAGATTACTGAATGATCTCAAACAGAAACGTTAGTTGTAAGTGGGCTTTTGACAACTGTGACTCTCTGCTTACTAATAGGAGGATATCACTGGCCACTCCTCGACAGCTTTACAAGTCTTCCAACATGACTCAGCGCTGGCAAAGAAGGGAGATCTCCAACTTTGAGTATCTGATGTTTCTCAACACCATAGCAGGTAAGAAGCCTCATTTTTCAGACCATCAGAGTACTAGGTGATATAACCTGATGGATGTCTTGTTTTCCTTGGAACTCAGATGCAGTAGTAGGGTAAACATCGTGTGTTCACACTTGAGTCTATCTGGAGCTATGCAGCTGATATCAAGGTCTTAGATGCTTCCCCTAGCTCTCCTTCTGCCATTTTCTTTGCTAGCAGCATTGTCTGAAGGTTTATTAGAGGCAACAAACTATTGCTAGACTAAGAATAATAGTGGGAAATATTATTTCACTACTTGGTGATTCTTAGCAGAAGCAGCCATACAAAAGAATAAGAGACTCCTGCCTAGCATGAATGTCACCTGGATTAGGTCATGATTGTCTTACACCATGTTTTTTTATTAAAGTCCTCAATTAAGACCAAAAACCCAGATTATATTTCCTAACTGATGAGCATGGTTACTGTGCTTGTCCATTAAGAGAACACAGTGGCTTGTTTTCTTCCTCCTGATCAGAGGTTGTGGCTGGCTCAGTGGATGTTGGTGAGACCTGGTCCCTCCTTCTTGTTATGTAAGCTGAGCTTTAAGAGCCTTGAGTCCTTCTGATTTGCAGAGTTTGCGTCTATGAACCAGGCTCTGTGAAGCCCTACATTGGCAGATGAATCTCTGCAGCAGTATCGATGCCTGTGTCGTACCTGTGATTGCTGCTGGTGACTCCTCACAGGGGATGCAGTAGTGCTAGTCCCTGAAACACTGTATTTAAAGGTGACTGCATTGCTGTTCTTCATTTAAATCTAGACATAAATGTTCATGTAGCTTCTACAGGCACTGGAACGTGGTTGGTCAACAAAAAGAAATGAAGTTATTTAAAATATTTTTTCTTAGTCATAAATACATGTTAATATATGTATTCACATATAGTATGCTTATATCTTAAATAAATCTATTTGCTCCCTATGAAGTAAATTAACTGTATAATACTATTAAGTTACTGTACCATTAGCACACAGAGATGAAATGAGCATAAATGACTGAAAGGGAAAGAACTCGATTTCCTTGGCAGAAAGCCCTCAGCACTATTGCTTAGTTCCCAGGACCCTAGACATAACAAAACCCATAAGCCCCTCCCACATCCATGAAACCGACTGCATTAGCTATAGCCTCTCACATGTGTGAGTGCCATGTGAGCACATGCCACCCATATTACCAAAAAGAACAGGACAAGGGTGGTATGGGTTCTGGATAGGCACATTTTAAAAGTACTTTCCTTCCTGTTTGAACTATGGACACCCAACTCACAGTTACAGAGAGCCATTCTTAGGTAAGCACATGACTTCACAGCAAAACACAAATTCCACCAAAGAGACCTGTCCCAGAGAGAAAAGGGCCTGAACCCCGGGCAGGTCACCTGTGTGTCCCAGAGAGAAGAGGGCCTAAACCCTAAACAAACCACCTGTGTGTCCCAGAGAGAAGAGGGCCTGAACCCTAGACATGGGTGTCTGTAGACAGAAGCTGGACTTTTCAACTTTACCTCTTTCACAGGTTTTAACCCTTCAGAAGAATGTGTAATAATGGTAATATTTCGTGGCACTTGGCATGTTTGGTTCTGTGTCATATTTTTATGCTGCTGCTGTTAATGTTTGTTGCTTCTACTATTTTATTTTGTCTTTGACGACAGAGATAGTTTCCCGTGTGTTTAATAATTTAGAATGTAGGGTCATCTTATTTGTTTTCCTAGAGAATCAGTTAAAATTTTAGCAAGCTCCTAAGCTGTATTTCTCTATCTTGTTCTATGTGTGTATATGTGATGTCTGTGCAGGCATGTACACAAGGTATCCATCTGTATCACCCTCTACACTACTGATTTGAGAAAGGGTCTTTTGCCTAAACTGAAATTAAACTGCCAGCCAGTTCCTCTTTCATCCCCCATAGGCACATTCGCCCACCCCAGCTTTCTCATGTGGATTCTGGGGACTTGAGCTCAGGTCCTCAGGCTTGAGCAATAGGAGCTCTTACCCATCACCCCAGCCCTGTTTCCCTTATTTTTAAACTTAAAGATGAATCCATTTTAATCATTCTTATGTGATATAAAAAGTGTTTACTCAGTTTTACATTCATTTTTTTATTTTGTAAGTATAATTTACCATCTGTATTTCAGATTATTAACTAAAATTTTTTTCACATTATTATTTTCAGATGTTTGGAGGATAATACTGTTTTTTATGTTTGTCTGCAAACAGTTTTGCTATATTCTGTTAAGACTTTCTTCTTTATTGAAGTCTGTATTAAGCAGGACAGTTTCTGCTGCAGATGTAGTTAGTGTCCAGCACGTACAAAACCTGGAGCGCAATTCTCCTTGGAGTAGAGGGAAAGAATAACAGATCCCTTGTCTCTCGTTAAATAAGTGTGTTTTTCCTGGAGTGGGCACCCGTTTGGAGCTGTTATATAGAAAGCTGAGGAGCAGGATGAGCAGTTCACCTCCAGTTCAGTTCCTAGACCGCAAGTGTTCTTATGGCGGTTCTCCTGTTCGATGTGCTATATCCTGTGCACAGAACAGTCTCTGGTCTGCTGTTTTACAGAGCTCTTTGCTGTCCTTTCTGATGCCCTTAGTGAATGAGTGTCAGTAAATTCCAAAGCGGTGGCATTCTCCCTCTGCAACTACATCATGCCTGCTGCTTTCTGAGAGCCACTTTGACTGGGTCAGGATGCTTCTAAATCTAGATAAGAGATAACCTTTGCAGTTCCTCTACAAGTTACACTTGAAACCAAGTGTGGCACATGCTTGTAATCCCAGTACATGAATGGCTGAGGCAGGAGTCTAATATGTAATGATCCTTTCAAGTTTGATACTTTTAATAAAAGTAGGTCAGTGTGGCTTCATAAATTTCCTATTTTTCACATTTTTGTTGCAGTTGTACACACTCAGGTTTATTGTCTGTTCTGACTAGCTTCCCTGAACCATACAAACCATCTCATGGCCCATTCTGTGTTGACCACTTCTAAATGTCTGCTTGGCTTAGCTGGTTTTCCTTTCTCATTTCTAGATGCCTGAAAGCAATGAGACTAGAAACATGTAGCAACTACTTTAGTGGACTTTTCAGTCCTCTTATGATAAACATCCTGTATGCACACACAGATACACACAGTTACATATATACTAAAGAGGTTGCCAAATGTTCAAATTTTCAAAAAAAAATGAAAAAACTTTTCAAAGAAATTTCCTAGCTGGGCATGAAATTTAATTCCAGCACTCTGGAGGCAGAGACAAGCAGATCTCTGTGAGTTCAAGGCCAGCCTGGTCCACAGATCAAGTTCCAGGACAGGCTCCAAAGCCACAGAGAAACCCTGTCTTGAAAGAACAACAACAACAAATAATAATAATAATAATTCCTAAAGCCCAATAATGTGTTCAGTCTTTGTCCTATTTACAAATTTAATAAATATTCACTAAGAATGTATAAGTATTAATTAAGAATTAAGTAGCACCTAAGTAGCTGTGTCAAAGCTGACATCCTGGTGGCTTTGTCAGCTCTTGCCCCGTGGGATATGCCACTGGGAACCTACAGCACACGTAAGTTCTCGCAGGACCTTTCCTGCCTCCCTAGGTATTATTAGGACCGTGTCTCTGTATATTCTAGGCTGGCCTGACCATCCTGCCACATCCTCCAAGTGCCAGGATTACAAATATGTATCTCCATGCCCAACTTTATGTAATTAAATAATTCCTTGAAGGCTCAGCTTTCAAAATGAATCGGAGTCCAGCTTAAAACTATGGCATAAAATATTTAATTATTTTTTAAATACTTGAGATATTTTTTAAAAAGTCAAATTATAGTAGATTAGGTGAAATAATTTAATGATACTTAGAGTTCAACTAGAAGTACAGTTTTGGCCTCTGGCTACCAGAGTTTACCTGATTTCTGCTCATTGTGTTCTGAGAGATACAACCTAAGCCTCACTTTACACTGCTGAGATAGCTCTAGGAAAAGACATTCAGAGCTGGTTTTCTTGCATTAAAACAAACAACAACCAAAACAACACAGTGATTGCTAACATAGCTTTGTGTAAACGATCTCGCTAGACTTGAGAGATTTTTCTTTTCTTTAAGGCTTTTGAGTTGTTTTTCATATGATCAGCTAATGAATTCAGCCCAACTTCCCAAGCCCAGCCGTGTTCTCCTGGTTAGCACTTCCCAGGTTCCTGCTCTGTGATGAACAAGCGCTCCCTGGTTAATTACGTATATATTTAGCTACTGCATGTGTTGGGCTTATTATTGTCATCTAATTAGATGTAACTTGAACTGCTTGCTTCTAGAAAAATCATTAAAAATTCTTTTCTAATGACCTAGAGATGACAAAATGTCTGTAAAGTGTGAAGACGCCAACGACACAGGAACAGCGTTCTTACAGCGTGCTAATCCAGGTGCCGCCGCCATCTCATTAAACGATATTTTGCTGTCATTAACATTTTCACCAAGGAATTGCAGTTATAATTTCCTTGTCAGCTGTCTCTAGATCACTTTACCTTCAAAACTAAAGTGCCATATAAAAACATTAAATTGGATGGTTTAATTAAAAAGGTTTTTTTTTAATGAAGAAACATATCCAGTGTTTCTGAGATCTCATTTACTGTGCTTCACTTTTATTGTTTGAGTAGATTAGTGTCAAGACTTCCCAATATTAATATGCATCTTCTGAGATACATCCTCAGAGGATAGTTAGCAGAACATGTAACATGGTGGGCTCTTACCACCTCCAGAGAAGCCAAGAGCCTACTAGGATAGCACAAGTGTGTTTGTTACACGTGATACGTGTGAGCTGTGCTCAAGAGATAAGTGAAAACAGCCAACAAGTGAAGGCTAGATGACAAGAGATGAACAGATATTACTTTGGAAATACTTCCCTTTGGGAGACCTAATCCACTTATTTTTTTTCTCATGTCATGAAGATGTGCAGTAAAATAAAGAATGCTAATTCATTGAAACTTAGGTATGAAAACCTCTAAAATACCACTTCATCATTCTTGTTCTTCCTTGTGCCAAATTCGAGTCAAAAATATATATTGACTGTCCATGTGGCATGTCGGAAGCAGAAAATTTTACCAAAAATGGGTTAGTGCCATACATTTTTTAAAAAAAGCTTATTGGATTTATTTATTTAATTGAAATGATATTGTGAGACAATAGTAATGTAAATATTACTAATGTTTTCTTATTTGTTTTCATGGAACTTTCCAGGGATTATTAAAAATTACACAAATTCAGGGTTAGGGAAATTGTCCTGAGCTGTGACTTTAACATCATTCATTTTGTATGTGTGTATGTATTTTTAAAATGATGCTCTCTTTACTTTATGTTTCTGAAAATAGCCTAATATATCCTTTGTTATAAACACATTTATATTAAACGATGATTTCCTCAATATGTGTCCTTTTTCTTATACTGTCTTCATGTACAGGAATATTTAAATCCTGAGTTAATGTATATTGGCTTTTTATTTATTTTAACAAACTTAACCTTAGGTACAAGTAATAAATAGTAGCAAAATATTTATTAACAGGGACTGAAGAGATGGCTCAGTGATTAAAAGCACTGGTTGCTGTTTCTGAGGATCTAGGTTGTATTCCTAACACCCACCCACCTGGCAGCTCATAACAATCTATAATTCCAGTCCCAGGGAAACAGATGTGTTTGTCTTCTTTGGCCTCCCATAGGCACCAGGCACACAAATGGTACATAGACATACATGCAGCCAAAATACCTGCATATATAAAATAATAATTTTTAAAATTTTAGAAGTAATTGTAAAATCTATCATCTTTAGAGTTTGGCTCATTGTATTCTGTTTCTGTCACAAATGTGTTTTTTCCATCAAGAGCACTTACTGGTCAGAGAATATCTGCCAAAGCACAAAGGCTTTTAAAAAGCAAAACAACCTAGAAGGGGTCCTGTCTCCCTGCCTAACCTGAAGCAGTTAGCCATGATTTGTCTTGCTTACTCAATTTCTATCTCCTTTCCAACCCATCTCAGTTTGAGGCAGGTTCTCACTATGTGGCTTTGACTTGCCTGAGAGTCAAGATCCTTCTGGCCCAGTCTCTTAGATGATTGGAATTACAAGCCTGTACCACCACACACTCAGCTAGGACATCATTACTTAGATATAGTAGCATCTTTTGCCTAGCTAAACAGGGTAGACAGTATGCTCCTGTGAAGATTCCACATTCCCACTATGCTCTGGACCTACTGAAGATATTGAACCGCTCTTGAAACTAAGAAGACAAGCCCAACAGTTCCACAGTTCCCCATCCAAGTGCAACAATATAGCACAGAAAGAAAACCATCAACTTACAGGGAAAGGAGTATGTTTGGCACCTGTCTCCTTACTTCATCCTGCCATCACAGCTCTTCCCTGCATTTGCAGATTCTTGCCATGGATTTTCAGTGCCTGAAGAGAACCTTGGCCTTCCTTATTCCAGGCAAGCTCTACACCACTGAGCTTCATTTATATCCTCTCCACTGAGTCCTGATGAATGCTTAATATAGCATGTTTACTGACAATGCCGTTTTTACATCTACCTTCCTTATTGCAGAATATCGTCTGATAATAAGCTTCAAACATGCAGTTCAACAGCCTGGCACCCTCCATGACACTTTCAAGGTCCTTGGCTGGCAGGGTTCTGCATGTGGGAAGTCTCAGTGGACCAGGCTTGACAAGTGACACAGTCACCTCTGTTCACATGCTCCGGATAGCACTAAGTTCCATTACCAAAACTGCTTATAAAGGAAGCTAATCCCAAGGGAAGGGGATCATGTATGAGGACCAGACAGTTGTGTCACCTGTGTGAAGCTCTTGTTGAAATTGTTGAGAGAAGACACTTTGGACACATGGTTATCAGAGCATAATTAAACAGAGACTTGACCAATAAGAGAAGTCTTTTCTCCTGAAATACAATGACTGCCTTACAATAAACACAGAAACTGTTTTTAAGAAGTTAGGGCATACACATTTCACCCTTTTTTCTTTTCTCTACTAGGACGGACATACAATGATCTGAACCAATACCCTGTGTTTCCATGGGTGTTAACAAACTATGAATCAGAGGAACTGGACCTGACTCTTCCAGGAAACTTCAGGGATCTGTCAAAGGTAACAGTTAAATGCACAGAAATCTCTGCTGTACAGGAGCCTCACCAGAAAGGTTTATGCCAGAGTGTACACCCCCCGAGAATTTGTGAGAAAGTTATTCCCTCTTCTGTGGACCAGTGTCTAATTCTTACCTACTCAGACCACAGGAATTCTGCAACTATCAGTGACTTTATCGCACCATCATAGGAACAATGGGTGTTGAAGAAAGCAGATTCAGGAGGAAGTTGCTTAGGGTTAGTCATGGGCAGAAATCTAAAGTCAGTACAAAGCATGGCCACCAGTTACTTGTGTGCTGTATGCATGAGGTGAAAAGGAGTGCTGTCCTGACCACAGTAGCAGGTAGCCCATGAGAGAGGCTTAGCAGTAAGAAGAAAGGTAAATCAACAAGCATCTCTTTAGATGGAGAGGATGGGACCCTCAAAAAGGACTCAGGATGAGAGTAAAGAATACAAAGCAGATTTCGGGTAAGTTAACATAATTTTCAAGAGAAACACTAAATGGAATGCCAAACTGAGGTGCATCTAAGAATTAGAAATGGCCCAAAGACACTCTGCAACCTGAGCTCCCGTTGAACACTGTGAATCCCTCCTTCTATGAATATGTCTTTAAGCCATGCATGCTTGGTAGTGCCTAGCACATCACTCAAATCCCAGGACCATATTTACAGCACAGGGCATTAGGCAAAGTCATTCACTTTCTCTTTGCCTCAGTTTCTTCATCTGAATACTGAAACGGTGCTAATCAGGTCGTTGTGATGGGTTCTGATTAGCCAGTATATATATGTGGCCTAAAAGAATTAATGCTGTGTATATTGGTTGGAATTCTCAGCCATTGCCATAAACCTCATGCTCTACGCTCTCTAAGCCACATGTCTTGCAGGTCGTGATGATGTCAGCCTATTGTACTGGTTATCTTGTAGAGACGGACACTTTCTTTACATGTTTGCCAGGATAGGGGGATACTCAGTGGACATTAAAGCAAAACCTATTCAGTGCAAAGGTTAAAATTGCTCTTTAAAGTTTTGTCTGTGTGGGTCACAGACATGACTCAGCCTCCAATGGTAAAGGTGCTTGCCATCAAGCTGACCTGCCCTCATTCCCCAGTAGAGAACAGATTCTGACTCCACATAGGCCTACACACATACAATACAAACACACATACATACACACATATACAAATAAGTAAATGTGATTTTTAAAAAGATGTAAGCCATGTCTTTTTAACATTGATAGATACCATTTATTATTGTATGTGCGTGTGTATGAAAATGAAATTTTATAGTGTAGATTTTCAAGGACCATGGCACATTGTAGTTAACTTCATATACTGGTTAGATTTTGTCAACTTGATACAAATTAGAGTCTCCTGGGAAGAGAGAACCTCCACTGAGGAATTTCCTCCATCAGATTGGCCTGTGGGAATGTCTGTGGTACATTTTCTTAATTTCTTATTGATGTAGGAGGGCCCAGCCCACTGTGTGGTGCCACCCCTATGCAGATGGGCCTGTCTTGGCTATATAAGAAAGTAGGCTGAGCAAGCCAGTAAGCAGTATTCCTCCATGGCTCTGCTTCAATTCCTGGCTCCTGCCTTGAATTCTTGCCCTGGCTTCCCTGGATGATGGATTATGATCTGTGATCTAGAATAAAACCTCTCCAGGTGATTTTTGATGGTAATGTTCTATCACAGCAACAAAAAGCAAATTAGGACACCTCATATGCTAACTACTACTGTAGTTATCTAAGATTCCTTTTTAAAAAAAAAAAGTTTTGATCTGAAATTCAACTATAATGTCATAGTTGACAGAAACTTATACACCAAGATTTCTTCCTTTCCTTTGGAGGAAGAAATCTGTCATCAGATATTAACATGTGCTCATATGTGTACAGAAACAGGCCTCTGCACCAGATAGATGAGCCCAATGGGAATGAGTCAGATGAGCCTCTTGGAGAAAAATCTCTCCTGAACAAAGATGAGAACTTAGTTCCTAAGAGTAGGAGACTAGCAGTAGTGAGGGTGAAGGAGAATGAGACCTACTCGGGCGTGTGCTCAGATACTCCAAGGCAGTTGTTCTCACACCTTCCTGAAACACTAATACAGCCAGTGTTGGTTCTGTGGATTATAGGAGAGATGTGCTTGTGTTTGCCAGTGATAACAGAATTTTAATACCCTGTGTAAAAAGGTGAGATCACTGGTTTGTGGGTGTGTGGTGCTGATATTGCATTGAGGGCCTTGTGTCTGATAGGCAGTGTCCTACAGTAAACTGCATTTTAAGCTCTCCTTTTCTATTTTAACACAGGGTTTTTCTAAGTTACTCGTGCTACCTTGTACTCTCTGCAGCCAGACAGGACTTGAATTTGGGGTCCTTCTGCCTCGGCCTCCTGACTAGCTGGGGTGCCAGCCTGTGCTTCTGAAGTGACTCCATTCACGCTGTTGAGTTGTGTGCCTCCTTTGCCTGGGCTTTACCTTCTGTCACTCACATATACTTCCCCAGTTTTATGAAGTGTGAAAATAAATAGCAGAGGAAACAGGCAGAGCCTGAGTTAATCAGGGAACATGAACATGAACTATCTCCTTTTGCAAGCCTGGAATTGGCTCTTGGTACTGGGCTGGTTGACTTCTGGAGTGGGAAAAGAGAGGTAGCTTTTGCCCTCAGTTCTCCCATAGTCCAGACCCATGCGTTAGCAGTCTGTTATTTACACACTGTCTCACTGACAGGATGGGAAAATGTTAGCGAATTAAAGCCTCTTGATATGTTAATAAATCACCCTTGCATTGTTCCCATGGTTCACTGAATTTCCTAATAGAAGCTTCCATACAGATGGTCTAGGAAACCAGTACTATCCTTTATAAAACCACTAATACTAAGATTTTAATGTATGAAGATATATCTTACTGCGCACCAATGGGAAAGTGACATTAGAAATACACTGTGCGTGGGAGAAGAGACCACAGTGGGTAATAGCACTACTGCATGTGGAGTCCCCACCAAGTACATGGACTTCTCACAGCTGTAATAGATCAGCAAAAGAAGGCTTCAGTGGGAAATCTGTTTCCCAAAAGCTCAAGAAAGAACTGAGATTATTAAATGTTACTAACTGTAATTATTTTAATAAGAAAAGTAGTTGTTTTAAAAACAAAGATTAGGAGTCCTGCCCTGACTTCCCTCAGTAATAGACTAAAAGTTGTAAGATGAAATAAACCCTTTCTTCCTCAAGTTGTTCTTGATCATAGTGTTTTATCACAGCAGTAGAAACCCTAGCTAAGACAGTGTTTAATGTCACACCTGTGCAAAGAGTGTGGATACAGTGCAGATTTCCAGTCACCCTCTGAGTTAAGTATGATTGACTAAAAAGTCTAGTGAAAGAGTATTTGATTCAACTAAATCATTTTTAATTCTAGTAAGGTCAAAAGAATATCATTCAATAATACATTTTTCATGCCACAAATTGTTTTATTATCTCCCTATTATTCATTTATTATAAACCCTAGTGTTTATAAAAACATGAGTTGGATATTTATCTAGAATGATTTTTTTATTTATAGTCTTATTTTTCTCCTTGTTACCTTTGAAGAGCAGAGGAAAGAATTTTTATTTAGACTCCTTTTTTTTATTAGACTACACAGGTTCGTCTTACTCATTATAGATTGTATTTATTGTTTGACAAATCAGATGGTCTGTAATTGACCAATATTTTCAGTATGAGCCACCAACAGGTGGATATATTTTTCCCTTCAGTATATATATATTATATCTGCTATGGAAAAGTGAACGTGTTATAAAATTTATCTTAAAACACGATACATATTAGTGCCTCGGTTATTTATATGTACTTGGATGAATTTGACTCCCAGGTTCTAGTGGTTACATGATTTCGACACAAATTGTAATCTGCTCTTTAAAGTACAAATGAGATTTTCCATTTCCCAACTATATCTTCTGATAAATGAATCATTTCATTCCAGAACCAAATCCTGGTAATACTGACATAAACATAAGACATCACACATGTGTACACAACACATTCGCGTAAACACACACATATACACAAACACACTCATTCACAAAGTGGAAAACTATTTTGTTAACACAGGAGTTGTTTGACTGGCAGATGAGGATGAAGTTAGCATTTCCCACATTATTATGCCACTTAAAAAGGGGAGGTGATAATGCCTGGGGCTTTGAAATGCAGCAGTGCAAAAGCATGTGCTGAGGTGCTAATGTTGCGGAATGCCTGTGCACATGGAGTGGAGGCGATGAAGCTGGAGAGTGAGCAGCCCAGAGGCCTAGAGCAGCGTCCTAGTCTTTCTTATCTTTCTTTTCCACCATAAATAAAAATACCCAAAGTGAAAGTTTTCTTAAGCTAGTATATAATCTGCCTAATGATAAAGTTTCAATAACTAAATAAATACAGAGTTTTGGAAAAGTATTAAATGTAAGTCATGAAACTTAATAATTTTTGATAGGCTAGTAAATAAAAATAATTTAACTATATTAACATTAATATAGTAATGACTTTGGCTTCATGGAATACAAGGTCACGTTAAACTGGCTTCAATTTAAAAGATAAAAGTTTTTGCAGACTTAGTATTTCTAAGGAATCCAGAGTAGTCAGTGTTGGGAAAACCTGTTCTGAGCACACCTCTACTACAGCCTGCTCTGGGCTTGATCTGACCAACTTTCAGGAGTGCAGCAAGGAGGCTTTTGTAGCCCCACCAGAGATGCCTTTCTTCCCATATACTAACACCTCAGTTCCTTTGGATCAACTCTAATCATGGCTTTTCGGTTGGTTGGTTGGTTGGTTGGTTGGTTGGTTGGTTGGTTGGTTTGGTTTTGGCTCCAAAGTGGCCACATAGGATTTTTACGAACTTGATTGAAGTTTGGGGTTGTCAGGGTTCAGCCCATCTGCATTAGGCATACTACTTACAAAAAAGGAATAATTCATAAAGGAAGGAGAAATGGACGGAGGAACTGTTGTTGCTTGTTTGCAGGAGTTGGTCCT